TTCAAATGTGGCTATTGAGGCATCACCTCCAATGTTTGATAAAGATTTAACCCCAGTCAAGGTTTCTGATATGGCTATAGAAGCTTCGGCTCTATTAGCTGCTACTTCAACCCCAGTTAAGGATATGGCTTTAGAAGACTCAGCTTTGGTAGCTGCTAAATATTCAACTCCGGTTAAGGAGTATATGGAAATTGAGGATTCAGATCCTTTGATTACCAAATCTTCAACTCAAGATTGTAACAACAAGACTGTGGAGTCTCTATTACCAATGCCATCAACTTCATCAGGCGCTAACGTATCATTCAAAATGATGTTCAAAACTCCACAGAAAATTTCAAATCCAATTGTAACTAGAAAAAAAGCTATTAACAGTCTAGCACAAGTATTAACTAAAGATATTTTTGATAAAGTTGCTAAGAAGCAGAAAGTGACAGTTGAAAGCAAAAGCCAAGACAAGAATATGGATAAAGAAGGAAAAGGAAAAGGGAAGGGAAAAGGGAAGGGTAAAGGCTTGAAGGAAAGACCGTCTAATGTGTCCTGGTATTGTTTTGTATGTCAAGAAGATAAAATTGCTGATATGAGACTATGCATAAATTGTGCATCTTACGTCCACGAGGAATGCGTGGGGCTTACTGCTAAAGATAAAGAACAATTCATTTGCATCCGATGCGAAAATTAAAAATAATAAAAGTTCAGTTGATTAGGAAAGTATAGCTGATTGTGATAATGTTGTTCTCTTTTTTATTATTTAAAATTTATTATTTGAAAAATTTATTCTTATTTGAATTAAGAAGATGATTACTTTAGTTAATATTATGTTACAGTTAAAATGGAAGTGCCATTAAGTATTAAGCTTCTTTTAATGCCATTAAGTTTCTTTACGTATTTAATTCCTAGATCTCAGAAGAATAAATCCAAAGTTTTTTGTTTTCTTTTTGTTAAATTATCTTTACCATTTATAATAACTAATACAGTTAATATGCCCATAGTAAGGGCATATTAACCAACATGGTCGGAAATATGGTCAATTCGCCATTTTTTTTAAAAACTTGTTTGGCCGCAATCTCATTCATACCTTGGAGTATTTCTTATAGCCATATGATAAATAGTTAATATACATGACAGAAAATTGATTAAAGCTATTCCTAATCATCAAAACAAAAAAGATGTAGGAAGTTACACCTTAAGGTGACCATATTGGACCCAGGTACCTTAGTAATAGCTATTACAAAGGATAAAACTCAACACAACTGTAAATGATCTTGAAAATTGTAAGAATATCGATTATCAAAACTACTATATAAAATTATGAATATATTTCCAACATCTAACCGCGAAAGTGAACTGTTGACAAAAGTCGTTACGAACCTTCCAGTATACTGTAAAACAGATTTTCTAAATGGATAAAACTAGATGTATGGAAACCACTACGAAATAAAAGGTGGATATTTGTACAATCCAAATCTAGTAAGCTTACTATAGATTGTCGCCATACCCAACCAAACGATTTAAAAATATTAGGGGCTGAAATTATTACTATTCCTACTTATTGTAAAGCATATTGTAAGAGCACCAGGCTTTTACTTGATTACACTGTATTGATTATTACATTACGTGTGCTTAGTACAGATTTTAATTTAATAAACTACTCTTGTTGTAATATAGATAAATTTAAGGAAATCAAGGATAGTGTTCCCGTAGTAAAAGAAAATAATATTGACTCAGAAACTCTAGATTTCCCACATATCCTAAACGAAAAGTCAATTAACGATCTAAATGAAACTATAAATAAACCTCATAAAATATGGGACACATATTCTACACTAATTATATTTTAATAATAATTGTGATTTCGTTTTGTGTTTAAGTTATATAAGACAATAAAAAGAACTAGCAGCCCTCACAAACAATTAGAAACTATCACAGCTATGCCTTTAAAGGAATTGGGAAAAAATAAAGATAATCAAGTTATACAATTAACATCCATAGAATTAGAATCCGAATATATATATATATATATATATATATATATGTATATTACATACAAATACAATATTAATATTATAAATACTCGTAAATTAACATTTTGCTATATCTTTAAATCATTCATAAACTTCAGAGTATTAACCCTTAAGTTTATTCCTAATGGGGGGAGGTGGTACATCCCTCAGTTGTACTAAAGTGCATACAACCCTAAAGCGGGGAATTCACTAGACAGGCATGCCCGCGGGCAAGTCTGCAGACATGCCTGCCAGACCTCGTTACTATAGGTCTGTTTCATGTCTGCCTAGTGTAGGTCCGTCACAGGCAGTCTGCCAGACTGCCCGTCGCCCGTCCGTGAGATCTCATTTTGTCTGCGCGGGCACAGACAAGTCTGTAGGTGAATGCTCAAAGCGGGCTGAGTGCTCAGACCTGAGCCGGACAGCAAGCATTACGGACGTCGACGACGTGAAACAAAATGAGTTTTAATGAAAATAAAAAAAAAATAGAAAGATTTTATAAACGAATATAAAAAATATAATTCTTTGTGGGAGGTTAAAAGCAAGCAATATATTAATACGGAGTTACGCAATACTGCATATCAAAATTTAATGAAAAAATGTAGGGAATTATAGCAGGTAAGTTTGTTGTAAAATGTTTATGAGGTGGAGGTGGTATAACTCCGAATAAAATATACACACACACATACACACACACACAGAGAGAAATATGTAATTACTTCAAGTTGACATCTAATAATATAAATAATAAATTTCAATTAACATAAACCGTGCGACATGCATCTTAAAATTAATGCAGTAGCAACTAATGCTATTTTTCTCCGTTTCGTAGCCATTGTAATATGCACTGGTAACACAACCAGTCGCTTAGCGCGTCGAACACTAACTGACGAGTTTGTGTAGTGTGTTGTGAACGACAGACATGCCCGGCAGACTTGCCCGCGGGCGCGCCTGTCTAGTGAATTCCCCGCTTAATAAATCACCGTGTTTGCTTTTTTCCCTATAGCCGGCGCGACCGCATCCCGAGCGCGACAGTCGCATTCTGACCTCCGTGGTAACTTCTAGTTCATCATACTATAATATCAATCATACTATTTCCTTATTTTATTTCCTTTTCAATTTTTTTTAAGCTCTAACAGAGAACCCTAACAGTACGAAACGCAAAGTGTCTGGTATACGTGACTTATAGTGTATATGATAAGAGGAAGCTAAAGTATATTGGCTTAAAACTATAAAAAAATCATAACCGTAACTGTAGTGTTACCTGCTCTACATTTACTCTCGTTGGTTTTTTATTTCATAGAATATGATTATTCTTATAAGTCAAACATGCAGGACGCCGCACGGGCAGTCCGGTATAAATGCCTGTGTTATTGCCACCCGAGCTAGGATATTACAGTAACCAAAAGAATTTCATCGAGTTTGCCAAGCCGCCGTCGAGTTTGCCAAGTGCTAAATTATAATAAGTACGTGCTGCAAGCACTTATTAGAAATTTATCGTTCTGAATTATGCAGAGGTACCTTTATAATTCAACTATATTTTGGAGTATTTCGTGAATCAAATCATCAGCTGACTCAGCTGACTGAGAGTGAACCGGAAGAAAATATTTTAGGGGAGCCAGATATCTATGATAGCTCTGACTCAGATGTACCTATTTCTCAGTTACAAAAGCGTCAACGCCGTGTAGAGTATAGTTCTTCAAACTCTACAGATTCTGCGCCCAATGTTCAACCCAGTCAAGAACAGGTAGTTAGTACAAGTACCCAGACGGTATTACATGATCCCAGGGTTATTATTCCTAAAAAAAAATTATTCGAGGAAAAAATGGACATAAATGCGAGAACTCGTGCGGCTTCTAGAAATATCTTACGTTTCACTGAGGGTCCTCTTATGGAACCTCACCTGCAAGAAAAAATAAACATTCCCACTTTGCGGCGTGAAATCAAGGAGCTTATAAAAGATATTTTGGAAGTTGAACCTGTTCTAGAAACAGTAAGTACTGAACAACCTATTTCTATTTCTATCCATATCGAGAAAAATGACAACACAGTATTGCATGAAATGCAAAAGAGCCATATGTAGGGCGCATAACATGAACATGTGTCCTAACTGTGTAGAATAAGTTATTTACTATAATTTCATTATAATTGTGATCTCTAAAACCCAAAATATTATATCGACGGTTAAAAGGAGAAATGACTCAAGCGACACTCTGGGTCATATTGACTTATATACATATTCGGAATCAGCGAATTTTTCTGCGTCTTTTGAGCTGACTTTCATTAAAATCAGAACACTTTTTTGTCGCTTGAGTCAATGGTGAAAAAGGGTACCATTTCCCAAGCCATGGTGTTATGTGACAAAAAAAATTACACTTTTTGGAAAAATGGACTTCACCTATTTCCAAAGTGCTGGAAATGTCCTCACTACTTACTTGAGCCATTCATCCTTTTAAGAAATCATATTCACTATGCCTTTCAGATATTTTACTTTGTGCAGAATTGCGTAATACATTAATTGCGTAATACATAAGGCATTTTACTTAATTCAGATTATGCAGCGTGTGTCGTTTAAGTTATTCTTATTCGAACAAGTTTATTTTACGATGTCAGTTGAGTCATTTTGCTAGAAACAAAATAAATAAGGCTCGTCACTTAAGCGACTTCTACATAAACAAAAATAATAATACTAAGTAGGATAAGCCATTTTTCTTTATATCAAATCTTTTTTTTTTATATCAGTGTATTTTACCTATATTCGAAAAGTCGAATTTAACATTTAATTTATAAGTTTTGTAAAATCATTAACAATAAGCTATTGTTACTTTATTCTGCATATTTTGCAATGGTCAATAAGCAACGTAAATTTTAGTAGCAAAATAATTTGTTGGTCATTTAAGTTCGGTCAATCAGTACATCGGTGTTCTTGAGCCGCGCACTTATTTCGTCCCTTAGCTAACAACACCGCTCAAGTCGAAAATTGGCGGTTTTTACGTTTGAATGCCATTGGATGGAGCTGCGCATTGCGCGTCGAACCATTGGTCACATGATATAGATTTCAGCCAATCAGAAGCCGTAATTCAAGAAATAGTGACAGCGCTCAAGTCCGTTGGCCTCGCAACACCGCACAAGTCGTTAGTCTGTCATACTTTTCGCGCGAAAGTACTTCGCGCTCTGTGATTATTAAATTTTTATATGAATTTTATCGCTGAAAGGTCTATGCAAGAAGTTTTAATAGAAGATTATGAGGTAAGCTATAGAATAAAGTAATGTTTATTGATTTACGCGTATTAATATAGAAATAAATGATAATAGAATATCTTCACTTACTTAAGCGGTGTTTAATAAATATTTTTCTTGACTTAGGCAGTGTTTCAAAATGTATTTTATTTCTTTTAAGAAACTAAATAATTGAAATACACTATGAATGGAGAAGACATTTATTCCTGGAGTGATCTGAGTTCAGGTGATGAATTTTTATGTGCCCAATTACAAGAATCAGGACTGATGACAACATAAACGGCGTAAACAAAATTGCAAAGAAGATAAAAAAAGAATTAAACTAGGTTAGTAGTATAGGTTTGTTTGGATGTCCGCATTTATTTTTTTTTAAATATTTTTCTTGACTTAGGCAGTGTTTCAAAATGTATTTTATTTCTTTTAAGAAACTAAATAATTGAAATACACTATGAATGGAGAAGACATTTATTCCTGGAGTGATCTGAGTTCAGGTGATGAATTTTTATGTGCCCAATTACAAGAATCAGGACTGATGACAACATAAACGGCGTAAACAAAATTGCAAAGAAGATAAAAAAAGAATTAAACTAGGTTAGTAGTATAGGTTTGTTTGGATGTCCGCATTTATTTTTTTGTTATTTCTGTTTTTAATTCAATAATTCCTGTTATTTGTTTTAGATTTGAATCAAAAAGATAACACTAGTTCTTCTGATACCAAATTATTAGAGATGTGACTTATCTTAGATACAAGTATTTGAAATACAGATACAAGATACAAAATACGTATTTTCATCTTGTATCTAAAATACTTTTTTTATTACTTAAATACTTTTGTTTAGTATCTTAGTATCTTTTAAATACTTTTTCTGATAAAATACTTTATAAAAAGATTATTTCTTACATTTTATAAATATCACAAAACATTCTTTGTCTAAAACATACATATTTACAAAAAGAAAGTGTTCAATTATCAACGCAATGAATATTTAGTTAAAAATAACTCGAATCCAAACATTGTTTGGTGTCACTAAAAAGTAAATGCGTAGAACTGAACGTACGGTTATATCGGTGTAATACACCCTCCCTAGTAAAAATTGATAGATGGCGCATAGGGCTTGAAATCGAATAACCAGTTATAAGCAATAAAAAATCTTGATTTATGTAAAAACCCGGTTATATGCTATAAATAAAACACAGTATATCAATTAAACTCATTATTAATTTTTTTTTTTTTGCACATTATACTTTTTCCACTAACAACAGCATTCAAAAAGTTAATTTTAAAGAAATTTCACTGTGAAATTCCATACATGGCAAATGCTTGAAATTATATCCCGTGAGCAAAGCAATATTGCCTTTATAGACTCAACAGTTAATATTTTTCTATCTTTTGACCACTGCATATTCATGAGCGAAAAAAAAACAATATTCGCATTATGAGGCATAATACAAAAAAATACTGACAAATCTTCAGTAGTTCGGAAACGAGTGCTGTCATTGCATATATTGAAAATAATTACCCACAGCTTTTCAACTAATTCGTCATAAAAATAAATTTGTTAATAGAAAAAATTCTTCAAATAATTTCTTTGACATCGTCAATTACTACTCCTTTATTTTTCAAAAATACAACACAATGTGTGATGTAATCGTATAGTAGATTTTGCTTTAATAAGTAACCATTTAATTCAAAGGATCTTTATTGAGAAACAACAAAAAAATGGGCGGAGTCCTGTCTTAATATTAGGTCTTTACCTATGTAATTGCCGATCTGCTGTACTAGCCATTTAAAATCAAACTATTTTTTTTGGGCTGATAATTCTAATATCAAATTATTTTTTCTAAAATCGTCATTTGTTTAATAGTAAGTGTTTTGTTTTCAATGCATTAGAATATTTTTCGTCGTCATGGATAAGTTAAAAATTCGAGTAATTATGGAGTATGTGTGCCATCGTGGCAGCAAAACGGCACGCAACATTACAACGTTTGCAGAGCGAACACTACAAACGAGCGCACCACCCGTTATTGATTTGCCCGTTATTGGTTTACGAAAAGGTTGCTGTTTGGTGGTCTAACACGGATGTATTTCATCACAGCTCCTTACCAAACAGGACGAGCATTACTGCAGATTTACTGTGTGTATTGTGAAGAACTGAACACAATGACGGAGAAGCTGGCACAACTCCAACTAGGTTTTGTCAATCGTTGGGTTTCACTGCTCCTGCACTACAAGAGCTGGGGTTTGTAGTTCTCCGTCATCCGCCGTACTTGACAGACCATGCGCCTACAGAATTCTAATTCTTCCAGAATTTGGATAACGTCTTAGCGGGAAAAAAATAAATTCCCGAGAGACAGTACAAAATGCCTTTGAAGTATTTGTTGCCTCCCGTCCAGCTGATTTCTTCAAGAAGGCATCATTAAGCTACCAATGCGTTGGCAAAGATGTATTGATTGCATGGGTGATTACTTTGATTAATAGAAATAAGAAAATAAAGCTTCATTTATTTTATTAAAAACGGAAATTTCATAGATAAAAACTTAATTAATACTTCAAATCCGGTTGAGACCGGATTTATCCGATCAGATGCTAACTAATGGCGCATTACCAACAGTACCAGCAATACCAACTCTACGTCTTTTTAGGTACATCTACGTATTATAAGCCTTTTCTACAAACCAACGTACTATAATCAACCACACACACAGCTAAGTATTTTCTACTAAAAATTTTCAAATTAGCTTAACACACTAAAGGGGCATAATTTTCGGTAGTTCTGCAAAAAAAGTTAATATACGTTCCGTTACATACTATCGCACATTCACCTCGTCACAAGTCACTCCATTAATTTTAAAAAGCAAGTACTGTATTTATTTTTACCCACTCTCTTCATCTCACTAGGAAAAAATGAATTTTCAGTTCTCCGTAATTTTCTCATCTGGTCAACGTCGTAATACGTCGTCGTACGTAAAACCAGCTTTTTAAATAAATAATAATTTTATAATTAATTTAAATCATTATTCTTGTTGTTATATTTGAGCAATTTTTCATTCACAATGCTATATTGAAAAAACTTATTATTAAAAAGGAACTAAAAAATTTAAAATAATTTAAACCTGTTGTATTAAATATTTGCATTTTTATATATTACATTGTGATTGACAAACAAATAAAACGGAGGAAAAGTGGGTGAAATTTAGCTTGTAAGATTTGAGTACAAACACAGAAAACTAAATAAAAGCTTATAAAAATTGTTTCTAATCAAAAATGCTTAAAATATCCACTTTGTCCCTGGAACCATCTGGTCTAAGATTTAGGTTTTTGTGGTCTTTAATAAACAAACTTAAATTCAAATCTTTTTTTAGAAAAGTATTTGTATTTATCAAAAGTATTTATAATATACCTATTTTGTATCTAGTATTTCAAATACTTTTCTCGAAAGTATTTTGTATCTGGTATCTGAAATACTTAATTTAAAAGTATTTTGTATCTTGTATTCCAGATACTTTGTACAGGGTATTTTGTACATCTCTGCAAATCATGCAATTCTCCTACTAAATACGAAATTATTGCAACGCCAATAAATGATCAAAACTTCGGGGAGTACATAAAACGTATTATAAGTAGCCAGGACAATGTAAACACTGATCAAAACATATACTTGGATATTGAAAACAATCTACAAGTTATAGAAAATGTGGGTAATGACTTCTTTGATCTGCAACAGGAACCACCCGAATTCGGTACGCTGGCCATCGAGTATCCTGAGCCTTCTGTATTGAATGTAGCCAATATCACGGTAGAAAGTGAGAACGTTGTACAAGAACTAGGAAATGTTTTCCTTAATATAAATTCTATCGAATCTTTTCCTACTTCAAACCCAGATATTCTCGTATCTACGAATACTCAAGACCCAATTTCTGATATAGTCATTGATAATAAAAACAATACTCAATGTACAGATAAAAATAATACAACCCAAAACAATATGCAGCAATCCAGTGTCTCTGCTACTCCATCGTGTTCTTCAAAAGTGGTCATACTCAGTGATGTTCCCTGTCACGGTGATTTCTTAAGAAATAAAAAACGACAGAACAAGGCGTCAAAAGACCCAAAGAAATATAAACGCAATATTAATAAAGAATTACAGATGAAAGGTGAAAATTACTTAGGATACAGAAGAGACAGAAAAGCAAAACGTAATGAAACATTTAAAGTGAAACAAGACGTATTTAAGCCTGCAAGATCAATGAAACCACCGTGCACTACTGCGTTTTGCAAGAAATCTAAACTTAGGTCATGTGACAACATAAACGAACAACAGCGGAAATATTTATTTGAAAATTTCTGGAAGAACATGAACTGGGAGCAGCGAAGATCATTTATAACTTCTCACGTTAACAAAGTACTAAAGAAAATTACAAAAAATCCAGAATCATCCAAAAGAACTGATAGTCGAACTTACATTTTGACGATTGATAATGTACGTCACCAAGTATGCAAAAAAATGTTCTTGGGCACTCTAGAAATTAGAGATTAGTTTATAAGATATTGATTGACAAAAACCGATTGTGCTATGCCTCCCGATTTGTCTACTTCAACCAGTAATCGCAGAAATCTAGAGAAAATTGAAGACCACAAACATGTTGAAAAGTTTTCAGCAGATCTACCAAAGATGCCGTCGCATTACTGTCGTGCTAAAACATCACGAGAATATTTTGAACCAATTTTCTCGAACATGACACAGTTCTATCACACATATAAAGAGAATTGGGAATTAGAGGGTAGAGAATCCCTTGGCCGTAAATTATTTGACAAATTATTTTTGAAACTCAATCTGAGCCTATTCCACCAAAAGAAAGATCAATGCGACGTTTGTTGCAGTCATAAAACTGGAAACATTACGGATGAAGAATACGCTCAACATGTTTTGAAGAAAGATCGAGCCCGGAAAGAGAAAGATATTGACAAAGGAATTGCACAGTCCGGAGCTTGTCACGTGTTCTCACAGGATGTTGAATCGGTAAAATTGGCCCCGTATCTTCAAGCTAGTGCAATTTATTATAAAACTAAATTATGCGTCCACAATTTTACGTTATACAATATAGCAACTAAGGAAGTAATGTGTAATTGGTTTGACGAGTCAAATAGCACGCTTGAAGCCTCTGTTTTTGCTTCATGCTTAGTAGACCATCTAGAGAAGGTTTTGAGTCAGAAATTATTGCCTGTGATTTTATATTCCGATGGCTGTTGTGCTCAAAATCGCCATGTTACCTTAAGCAATGCTTTATTACGTTTAGCGATTGAAAAAAATATTGTGATTACTCAAAAGTACCTGGAAAAAGGCCATACTCACATGGAATGTGATTCGGTACACAGTGCAATAGAGTGTAAATTAAAAGGTAAAGAAATTTACCTTCCACAACAATACATGGCTTTAAGTAAAATTGCTAGGAGTGATCCTATGCCTTACAAAGCTCGTTATTTGGACTATACCTTTATAACAGACTTTACGAAAGAATTAATTTATAAATCTATACGACCTGATAAAAAAGCAGGCGACCCAGTCGTCACAGATATACGTTTGCTAGAATATAGACCAAATGGCACAATTTGGTATAAAGATGGTTTTGATAACGAGCTTCAGCTACCACATTGTCCCACGCCTGTTAACAACATTAAACAAATAAATCACCTGCAGAAATTATACACAGCTAGAATACCAGTAACAAAGAGGAAGTATCAAGATTTGCAAGACCTAAAAAGTGTATTACCATCTAATTGCCATTCTTTTTATGATGACCTTCCGCACAGCAATCGCTAGAGACTGCAACTAACTATTAGACTAGAAATTTCAAGTATTCTTTATTATTTTTATAATTTTATTAATACTTTTATATTTTGATCCCTTGGAGTTAATAAAAGACTAAGACTAATATTTGAAATATTTACTTATTAAAATAAAAAAATATAATTTCATTTACGCTCTAACTAGAGGTTCATGTGTTACCAAATAACTTAGCAATTGATCTCAACAATGTGATTCTTAAGATTAATGTTATAGATACCTATGTTATAATAACGATTGTTAATTTTCTTGAAATATTTCTTAATAAAACTTTTTTTTGCAAATCATCTTTTGATACCATAATTCCTAACATTTCTGCAAATAACACCGCCTAAATCTAATAAAATATCAGTAACACAGCGCATGTCATAAAATAAAAGTTAAAATATACAAGTCATAAAATAAATGGAGAGCAAGCGAAAGAAATTTCTTAGGGAGACTATAGATAATTTTACAAAATCTGGAAAACCATATCAGAAGCAGAATTATTGTCTATTCCAGTGACCGACTCTGATTGTAATAATAAAAGTGTAAGTAGGTACTTAGGTATTATTCCTGTGAGTGTCTGTAACTATTGCAACTGAAATGTTGTGTCTGTGTTGTTATTTCTTTGTGGTTGTAGATCATACTGTTTTAAGTTTAATTTTAGTAGGCAAGGTATCCTCTATCTGTACCTACATGTTTTAAACGTTGGAAGCTACTTAATAATAAATATTAATTTATAACTACTAATAATTGTTGTTGTGTCAGTAATCATTATGCCGTTAGGCGTTAAGTTTGCCTTTTGCTGATTGCAATAAAGATTTAAAAAATTAATAAATGTTTTCGTTTTTTAACCTATTTTTATGTTTTCGTATGCATTGTTCAGGTTCAAAAGTTAACCAAGCAACCAAAAAGTACTTTGGAAACTTCAAACATAGAACGCGAAAGCAATTTAGACAATATATAAAATATTGACCAAACTCAAAAAAAACAAGCAAAAAGAGTCACAAGGACAGAAACATTACTCAAACATTAACACATGTGAAAAGGAAACTGATCGAGGTAAATTTAAAAGAAAAGTAGAGGGCAGACGCAGAAGTCCAGGGTTCGATTGCCAAGGGGGTACAAATTTATATTCGGTTTGGTTAGTGGTAGGGCTTGTTCTAAGTCCGTCTGTCCACCACCGTCTTATCTAAGTCTGCCGCCATAGCAACAATGTTAACAGCATTGTTGTGTTCCGGTAGTTACAGATAAGGTAGTCAGTTTCTCAGTGGTTGAGGATTCCGGGTGAAGTAAATCTTCGACCACTTAGGTGAGATGAAGGTCAAGCACGTTGTGTATAAAAAAGGGGCGAAAGGCCTAAACAAACTGAATTTAATTCATACGCACCTGCCCATATTTATCTTATTTACAGATTGTATTTTTATTAATTTTGCATAATGCTATTCTTTTATTACAAATGAAATTATACTAGAAAAATAGGAGCCCTGCAGGCAGGGTTATTTTTCTAGTATAGTAGTATTAATTTCAGGCATATTTTTCTAGTATAATTTCATTTATTTACAGATTTCAAATGATAGATATGAAACTATGGATGTTAGTGAATATATGGTCACAACAGTTGCAGAATTACATTATAAACGTAAAGAGCAGGTTAGTTACTAATTTAATAAAATTAACGAACTCTTGATAAACATACACATAATTACAAAAAACATTATTTTATTTTCAGCTTATAGACGCCAAGGAACTTGCAAAATGCGAAGAAACGGAAGATGGAAGAATCCAAATAATTATTGAACCATTAGAAAATGAGGTAATCTTGTGCATAAAACCAATGCTGTTGTGTTTATTGCTGAATTATTTAGTGTAGATGACTTTGCTATTTAATTTAATAATTTTAATTTCAGGATGACACACAAAAGCGCGGTACCTGTGCTTATGCCAAACACTTTTAAAAACTGGAATTATTTTGCAGAACCTTGAACTGAAACGGCCTCATAAACATAATATATCGGAACAGTCAGTAGTTCATGTAAAGCATAGATTCTCAACGTGGGCGATAACGCCCCCTTGTGGGCGTTTGAGACTTTCGGGAGAGCAGTAGAAGACCCAGAGAAAATTAGGGGGCATTGAGATGGCGCAGAGGGGGCGTGGGTAGATTATAAATATAGTCTAAAAAGGCAAAAAAATACACGCTAATCACGTACTAAATTAAAATAGAAATTAATATCGTTTAATTTTTGTTATTGTAGGTATTGTAATAATTTTTATCACGTGTGCACGTATTTTGGTAGGGCGGGCAATGGATTAAAATCATCATTACTAAAAACTATAAAATAAAAGTACTACAATCGAGGTTAAAGTACAGAGATAAAGATTAGGGTAGAACCGGGTAATACCGGTCAGGAGGTAATACCGAACAATATAAAATCTTACAAACTACTGCGTTCCGACGCACGCACACATACACAGCAAGTGGCGTGATGTTCCCAAGCGGCAACGCCCCGGCTTCATTCCGCAGCCGAAATCTTGGATGAAAGTACGTCGTTTGTTTTCGCGCCTAGTTGATGTAAAATTTCGGGATAAAACAATAAGAGGTAAGTTCTTATAATTTCACGTTTCTTAACTTGTTACCTAGGATTGTTGCACCATAATTACTTAGCATTCAGAGTGATAATCGTTTTTTAAGTTATTTGGTCAGGTTTCCTATCTAGATTTTTTTTTTACGGAAATGTTTCGATTCGGGCAATTCCGGTCATGCTGACCGGTATTAACCGCAAGTAAAGTTGGTATACATGACTATTATTTATGTTAATATTAATGTTTTTTTTATTATCTTAGAATGCCTAAAAGAAGAAGCCAACCCATTTCAAAGGCGTCGTGGAGCCAAGAGCAACTACACAGGGGTTTCAGACTAGTGGATGAAGGAAAAACTATAAGAGAAGCAGCTCGATCATGTGGCGTGCCGTTTTCAACGCTTCAAGAAAGAATCAAGAACAATAACCGTGATAGGCCACTACTGGGAAGAAACACAGTCTTCACAAGGGAGCAAGAAGAAGAAATGGCCTCCCAAGTTAAGTTTCTTGGTAAAATATTTTATGGGTGCACTTCGCTTCAAATTAGAAAGATGGCATATGAATACGCTGTAAAAAATTAATATAAAGCACAACTTTAATGTTACTTTTGAACTAGCTGGCAAGGATTGGCTCAAAGGCTTCATAAATAGAAATAATTTATCCATCGGGAAAGCTCAAGGCATGAGCTTAAATAGAGCAACTGCTTTTAACAACAACGAAGTAGGTATGTTCTTCAAACTTCTTTCAGAGCTCATGGAAAAATATAAGTTTCTGCCTAGAAATATATGGAACGTAGACGAGACCGGAATTTCGGCAGTACAAGACCCTGGTAAAATTGTAGCTGAGAAAGGGCAGCAACGTGTAGGGTCTATTACTAGCGGTGAAAGAGGCAAGACCGTGACAGCTGTGTGCGCTGTGAATGCTACCGGAGTCTACGCCCCACCAATGCTAATTTATCCACGACAGCGACATTCATGTGCTTTAGAAGCAGACGGCCCTCGTGGGACATTATATCGGTGCTCGAAAAATGGATGGATCAACGAAGATCTCTTCGTAGACTGGCTGAAGCACTTTGCAGATTTCACCAAATCTTCAGAAAACGAGCCCATATTGCTAGTCCTCGACAATCAT